GCAGGCAGGAGAAAACAAAGGCTGAATTAACCTCTGATGGGAACAGGAAAAGTCATTTCAGGCTCCTTTGAGGATACTACTGAAATCCCTCTAGGAAACAACAGAGATCAAAGCAGAGCAGAGAGCATCTGCCCAGGAGCTGCAGCTCCCTGCTCCAGAGGAGGATGAAGGAGGGCACTGGTCCTGGGGGAGGGCAAGGACAGGGGCTGGCACCTGGGGGTCACAGCACTCATCCTGAAACACAACCAAACCCTGGATCCAAAGGGATTTTATGGAAATCAAGCAATCTAAAGCATATTGTGACACCTCTCTACGTGAAGCAAAACAAGCAGCATGAAGCACCACCATTTCACAGTGACTGCCCCGAAATGCAGAACAACTAATTAAAAGGAAATAAGATAAAAACGCTGAAAAGCAAATAGGAACTGAAAATAAATTCCTCCCAGGTCAGGAAAAGGTTATTTACCTGTGACAGAACTATACACACAAACCTCAGACAAGCCAGCATTGCTTAGGGCAGTCAGTAGCTAAACCATTCCCTGCAGAAATACTGGGCTGAAGTAGAGAGAAAACAGAATTTCTCCACACACCATAAAGAAAGATAATGTTAGGATGATAAAGTACTTTCTCTTCACTCAAAAATATATTGCTAGATATCAAACTCTAGTAATTGAACCCCATATACGAAGTTTTTAAATTCAGGCCTCTGTAGAAATGTGCTCTAGCAGGACCATGTTTGTTTTCCCTGGCTGCTGCTCACCCTGGAGAGCCCCCAGCCATTGTGCTCCTGCAGGAGAAGGATTTCCGCTAGTAAACCTGCCAGGGAAACACAACCAGGCATCCCAGGAGCTGTATTTCATCAGGAGAATGGCAAACTCAAGTGCCAGGAGCTGCTCAACAACAAAGCAGACGTGAGCAGCCCAAGGTCTATTAGGTAAAGCTACACTCATTTTAAGACTCTCCATGGGCTGATCAGGGGAAAGGAGACTTGGGGACTGTTTGTTTAAAGGAAGAAGAGGAAGTCCAAATGATTTTTAAAGCTACCATTCCAAGGATGGAGAGAGCACGTTGGAATGATTCACACATCCCGAGCCATTTCCCAGACCAGCCAAGGACATGTGTATCCCTGCAGAGCCCTCGTGTGCAGCTCCTGGCTGATGCCTTGGCTTACATCTGCTCTTTGAACCTCCATTTACAGGGGATATTTCTGGGTGTTTTCACCTGTAACCCAGCTCTGTGGATTAGGTTTTTGCACGTTGCCCCTCATTTGCTACATCCACAGAAGCCACAGGCCCTGTGTGCCAACCCTGCTTCCATGTGCCACATTTCACAGCCCTCCTGCTCGTGCCACAGAGATCCTCAGCACGGACCAGTTCCCCCCTCACGTTGCTGCACAAACACTAAACACACATTTCCGCTGCCAGATAAACCAAACTGGGTCACTTTGTTTCTCTACAGTAACTCCTGATTCCATCTGACTGTCCCACCACAGCCCAACACCCACACAGCCCTCACACGAGCTCTGTCTCCAGCAAATAATCTAAACAGGCTTTCCCAAGAAATGCCACGTTCAGCAGTAATTTCTTCTGCTGTAATTTATTTAGGTAGAAAAAAGACATTTGAGAACTGTCAGCTCATTCTTACCTGTTGGGTTGGGTCCTTCCTCATGCCCCTGTGGCACAGCACTGGGGGTGCTCCCACCCACATCCTGCAGGCAGCACAGGACTGGGATCCTTGTGCAGGTAAAGAAACAGTACCACGGCTCCTGTTTAACCCCTCTGGGTCTCACACCCTCTCTGATGGAGCTCCTGGGGCAGGTGGTATCCATCCCCTCCTCTGGCTCATCAGCACTGCCAGCTGCCCCAGCCCCTCAGCCCTGCCCAGCACTGCATCACCCCACTGGGCAGGTCAGCAGCTCCCTCGGGGGTTTCCTCGGGGTGTTTGGAAAGCTGGGCTTTGCCAGGTTCAGTCCTCACCTTTCCCATCAGAAAGAAGGAATCAAGCCAACAACAGGTGGGCTGTGTCTGTTCCTGAACAGCACTCACCAAACAGAGCAGCTCTCTGGGAAGGAGAGAGAATTGCTAAGACTGAGCCTTGGAGCAGCTGAAAGCACACAATTCATTACAGAAGTCAGCAGACAAGCTGTTGGATTGCTTTATTTATCAAATTACTCAATTATTTCAGCTGGAAGGTTATTCATTAGACCTTTCATCCCGGGATTTTTATGTGACTATGTCAGGAAGTGAGGCAAGAGCACAGGAACGGACAAAGCAGCAGTTAAATGTTCCACTTCACTTATGCAGGTCAACACCATGGTAAGACATGGAACACTGAGAGGGAGATGAGTCTAATAGGCACCTTACCCTGCAATCAGTCACCTGCAATGCCCTGCCCTCAGGTGTTCCTGTGCTCAGGTCAGACCCTGATGCTGCTGATCCAAAAGCTGCGTTGAACAGACATGTCAAAGTACACTTGTTGAAGTGTGTGGTGCTGCCCACCTCAGGTGCTGCCCACGGACCTTGGGGGGCTGCTTGGGTGACAACACTTCACCAGCCAAAGGGGGGTGTTGGGCTGGCACAGAGACTCCCCAGAGTGTAAAGTTCCTCCTGGGTTCCAGGAAGATTATTGAGCTTAAATATTTTTAGGAAGTAGAACCCAAATTGAAACCAAGCAGAAGTTAGCTGAATTAATGTCTCCATTGCTGCCAGCATCAGCAGTTACACTTTGAATGGCCATGTGCCAGTGACATGGTGGGACACACCAGTGGGACTGAGAGGGTGTCAGCTCACCCGAGATGTCCAGGGCTGAACAGGCAGCCAGTCCTGGTACAGCACAGTGCTGAACCCATGGCCCCTGTGGGCACTCCTGCTCTGCTGGAGAGATCTTAGACATCATTTTTAAAATAATGCAGAGAGGGGGCTGCTGTGGCACAGAGCACTGTGGAGAGGTGGGGGGCAAGGAGCCTGTCCCCAGAGCAGCACCACCGAGGCAGCAGCAGGGCAAGAGGGGATGGGAACAAAGGCAAATCCTGGAAATACCCTCTAAATGTCAGGAAAAACCCTGCAGGACGTTTTACACATTCCGAGCTGCAGACGAGCTGAGGTTTTCCTGGGTTTGGAATGAATAAAAAAGCAGATCCATGTGTTTTCCAGTGGGTGTGGCGCTCGTTGCGATTTCCCTCCAAAGGCAGGTTCCCGCAGCTCCATCCCCTCCAACCAGGCATCTACTGGAGAACATATCTCCCTGTCACACTGACTTGTCAGGAGCCCAAAGTAATGGCTGAAAGCAGCCCAGTGTCCTGGCCCTGTGTTTCCCGGGAAAGTGGCTGCTGGGCTGGGCAGAGCTGAGGGCAGAGCTGAGGGCAGAGCCGAGGGCAGAGCCGAGGGCAGAGCTGAGGGCAGAGCTGAGGGCAGAGCTGAGGGCAGCACGGCCCCTCGCCCTCCCCACAGCTCATCCCAGGAACAGTTATTTTTAGATCACTTACTGCCACTAAAACATACTTGGACTATTTTCAGGCTGACTCACAGCTGAATTCCTGTTCTGGAGGCATTTCCAGTCCCCACCCAAAATAAGGGAAGACAAAACAAAATGAAACCAAAAAAATCCTGGCTGGTCCCAAACCAAAGCCCAGAGCATGTGTCCAGCTGTGCCAGTGTCCAGAGTCCAAGCATGGCTCTGCCCAGGGGGAGACCTGTACCCACAGCCCATCACCCACACCCACACCTGCACTCAGCTCAGACCTGCTTAGCATAGCTCAAGTGAACCAGATTGTGTTTTGGGGCTTTCTTAATTCAAATTCTTTCGTGTACTACTCAGGAATAGAAGAATTAAGCAGAGAGGAGCATGCATGTGGAACTCAACATAGAGTTTTTTATTCTATTTGATCACATTTTTAATTGCAAGACTAGCAACGCCACAGTAAACTGTGTAATGACCAGAAATTTCACCCATAAGTTTGGGGAAATGAAGGTCATGGAGACTTTAGAGGCTGCCACTAAACCAAAGGTACAAAGCAGGGCTGTCTCAGAGGGGGGGGAAGAGATCAGAGGCCAGCAGGTCTCTCTCTGGAGCTCCCCAGCTAAAGAGAAGGTGCCGTGATGTGACTCATGCAGGTGCTGGGGCAATAACAGCATCTCTGTCAGGGAACCAGGTGATGGAGTGCCGGGAGCTCTGCTCAGCAGTGCTGGGCTCCCAGGGGCACAGGCACCAGGCCTGACTTTGCACCTTTCTGCTCATGGATCTTTGGTATATGTTGACAGAAGGAGCATGTATTTGGAGACGATTATCTGTGGGTACCCAGCCAACAGGGAACAGCTGTGGGGTACATGCCACGCTGGTTTGTACACAGGCAGGTATCCTTAGTGACTCAGCCACTTGGAGCAGATGACTCTGCTCACCTCTGTGGACACAGCAAAACAACTAATTGAGCATATTAATGCACCAGAACTGTCACTACACATTGTTTATGAAGAGAAATCACCTCCTGGCCATCGATACCCAGGCATGGGATGCCACGTGCTGTACAGACACATCTCTGGAGAGGGCAGTGGCAGCCAGTGTGCCCGTGGCTCCAGCCCCTGCCTCAGGGCTTGGACTAGACTCGTTGGGCAGGACAGCAGAGCAGGACCCAGGCAAGGCCAGGGCAGTGACACCTGGATGCTGTTGGGCTGGCAGTGCCTCCTGTTCTAGCAAACCCAGCCTTGAGCAGGATGTCTAAACTGGCAAAGTAACTTGAGCTTCTGCATGGCTGTTTCTGTGCTAAAAGAACCAAAAGCAAAACTGTTTCTTCTGGATTGCTGCCAAGAGCCCAGAGTGACCCCCCTGGCAGGCACAGCACTGCTGCTGGGAACCAGCCCCTGCTCTGGTGACGCTGTGACGGGACCGTGCCGAGGCACAGGACCGTGTGACACGGACCAAGGCAGAGGGTGAGGCTTCAGGGACACTCCAGAGATCAGCAAATAAAGTGAAACAACACAAAAGAGACATTTTCTATTTTTTCTAGCAGGATGCAGGGTTTATTATCTGGGGCTGCTGTCTCTGGCACAGTGAAGCAGTTGGAGATAATCGACACATCAGAGAGAGCTGAACCCAGGGTGACCTGGATGGGACCCAGCGGGTGTCCTGTTCCCTGTGCTGTGGAGCAGCGAGTCCCCAGGCAGGGCTGGGGGCTCCTCATCTCCTGCAGGGATGCAGGCAGGGAAGGGGGCTGCCTACACCCTTCCTGCACCCTGTCCCCACTCCCTCCAGGCAGCTGCTCCTCCAGCCCAAACTCCTACAGGGTCATTATTCCATTGATCTCTTCCCCCTTTCCATCTGAACGTGGGACAGTCCATTGGAGAATAAGCTGTGCTGCTGATCGATCCCACAGGGATGTCAGGCAGGGACTGGCTCCTTGTTAGCTCCTGGTTTATTAGCAGAACCGCTAATGAAGTCTGAACTCTAAGGTCCAAATTCTGCCTCAGGCCATACATTCTGCTGGCACTTATAGACAACTACATTAAAGTTAGGTAGCTCCATACTCTGCTAAGTGACTGTGAGAATGGCCCTGTGAGCTTGCCTGGCTGTCCTGCTGAGTACAAAGACACATTCGTTTTAGCCCATCCCTGTTCCAGCCCAGCATCACATCATGGCTCACAAAGCAGTTATTTGAGAGCAGTGTGTTTGTCCCTCCAAGAGCTGACTTGATGGTCTTTTGTTTACAATATTGATGTGCTGGGGGGTATCGTGCTCCGAGAGCAGGGTCCTCCTGTACTGCTGGGAGTGAGCACCTCTCCTGGTCTGCTGGAGGCAGCTCAGCAGCAGGTCTCCTGTACAATAAGGTAACAGGTGCATTTCCAGGAACACAATCAGCTCACACTTATTCTATAGCATAAATAAGGTTATCTAAAAAAAAAATGGCACATGACTGATTGTTCTCCCTAGGGAGTTCCCTCCCTGCCGTCTCCCACTACCAGGGGCTCTGCTTCCTCACTCACTTCCTGGTGACCGTCAGCCTGCGCAAGAGCTGCCCTGTTTTGGCCATCAGCATCTCTCTGAAGTGGTCACCCATGAGGAAATAGAAAACAGGATTAATGGCACTATTTAGAAAGGCAATGGGTCTCGTGATGACGTAAATGGTGCTGATGATGCCCTGCGTGCACTCGGGGACGTTCAGGGCCGGGATTCGGGAAGCGAGGCGGACGTTGCGCATGACGTGGTAGGGAGTGAAGAGCAGGGAGAAGATCGCCACGGTGAGGACCACGAGGGTGAGAGGCTTCTTGAGGGTCAGGGGAGAGCTGAGTTGCTCACTCCTGTTTTTAAGAAAACGAACCATCTTCACGTAGAAGCAGCACATGATCAAGAGAGGGATGAGGAACCCAAAGACAGTCAGGAACATGCTATAGATGAGGTTTTCTGCGGGGTCTCCAGAGCTCGCATAATCAAGACACTTGTAATTATTGGCAGGTGTCAGAGGCTCCAGGAAGTGCACCAGCGGCAGCAGCTCCAGGATCACCCCGACCCAGATGGCAACGGACACCAGGACAGCTGTTCTCCTCTGCTGAAGGACGTGGTCCCTGAAGGGGTGTTTTATGAGCATGTACCGGTCAACGCTGACAGCAGTGAGGAAGAGGATGCTGCTGTACAGGTTGGCATGCAGCAGGAATCTGTTGCTGTGGCACAGGATGTCCTGCTTTGCCCACTGATCGTGGGAGTAGCTGTTCACCAATGCTGGCAGAGTGCAGAGAAATAACAAATCTGATAGGGATAAATTGAACAGGTAGATGTTGCCACTTTTCCATTTTTTCAGGCAGAAGATATAGCCAAACACCGCAATGGTGTTTCCAATGAAGCCTAAAATGAACTCAAGGGTATACATGGTGGAGAGATAATACTTTTCTAGGACTCTATTTGTCAACAAGGAGTCACTGGTCTCATTCACAGCCTGGAAAGTTAAAAGGAAAAAAAACCACAAGAAATGAATAAAAGAACATTTACATGTTTATATTGTTGCTGTAATCGGTGAATACATTCTCCAGTTTCATTCCAGCCTTCATGGGTTACTTGACCTGAAAGAATGTCTCTCACACATGGAATTTGCACTTTCAGCCACTGACCAGAGTTATGGAGCAAGATGAAAACTTGCCTGAGCAAAGACCTGTGTGAGGAGTTTGAAGTAAGAGCAGCACCTGAAGGCACCTGCCACGATGTGCCAGCTGCTGCTTGGCCAAAGCCATAGCAGTGCCAGCAGCCAGGAAAGTGAAGCCAGCCTGTCAGTGCCCTGTCAGTGCCCTGGCTGGAAGTCATCTGCCCCCGTTACCCAACGCCAGCCCCATGAGCCCTCACTCATCACCAAAGCAGAAGTTCTCTGTCAAGGCTTATGAAGGATGAGCTCATTAGCAGCAGTGAAGACACACTGACAACACTACTCGGAATTCATTAGGAAGTCAGGAGAGATGTGTTTATCAAATTAACAGAACCATTAGTCGTGTGCTTTGCACAGTTTTGCTGGTAGCTGGGTACCAGAAAGGCACGGGAGATGGAGTGTCTCTCCTGTGCACTCTGCCAAAAGCTTTCTAGGAGTTGCACCATGCACGAGCTTGCCTGATGACAAATTTTGCTTTCTTTCTAAAGGTTGGTTGAAAAAAACCCTTTCAGGACAGGGAAGGAAAGAGAGCAGGATCTCAAGTGCTCACCCTGCTTCCTCCTCAGCAAAGCCCACGCTGCAGGGAGCTGCAGGACACAGCTTTCAGTGAAAGCTGAAAGTAAAGTGTCAGCAAACAATTAGAAAGCAGGGAAAACAAAATGCTAGAAACCAGGATATAGATCAAAACTGAACTCAAGCTAAGGTTAAAGCATTTTCCAAGGTGTTCTGGTGTCCACAACCTGTTCACAGGTCTCTGCCCTCAAAGCACCATATTTCATTTTAAAGGTAGATCATGAGGCAGAACAAAGCACAGCATACCCAAAACTTAATAAAGTTACCTCCAGCAAGTCTCTACACCTCCTCTGTGCCCTGCAGGGGACAGAAATGCTACGGAGTGCTCACTCTGCTCAGTCACCTCAGCTGCAGCACCCACCGAGCCCTGGCTGCTCCACTCTTGAGGAGAAACTCAACACCTGAGTGAGGTTTTAAATCTGGAAAGCACAGCACGGACATGATCACTCCAAATACCAATACCAATTTACAGGTTCCTATATTGACAGATACATCGATTTAGGCAGTTGTTAGGAAAAGGCTGACGGATCAATGTTAAGGTAAGCAGGTAAGGCAGTTAAAGGTTCGCTCAGAAACGGGCTCGCCAGAGGAACAGAAGAGGCTCCCCAGCAGCAGACCCTTACCATCGCCAGGGCTGTGGGTGCTGCCTCCCCGCCGGGCTCCAGGATCCAGGGGTGCAGCCCCGCTGCCGTCCCGCCGAGTGCGAGCAGGATTTAATCATTAATGAGTCAAGGCGGAGGCAGGAGCTGTGTGGCTGAGCAGCTCAGGGGGCAGTGGGAGGGTGGGGCTGCTCGATGTGCGCCGAGGGAGCTGCAAATAACACTTCCACCTCACAGGGATCCGCTGGGAAACTGCCCGGGGCGGATGGAGGCGTGCGGAGGGAGAGGGCACTGCTCCCCACCCCATGCCCTGGGAGATGCCCGGGGGCTGCAGGAGGGCAGAGCTGGCGGCTCGTTCCCTGCTCACACGCAGTCACCTTCAGCCCTGGAGCAGCCTCTCCTACTGCACCCAGAGACCGACACAGCAGCTGCCGCAGCTCAGCGACTTCCCACAGCTCGCAAACCGATTAAACAATACATTTAATTCTATTACGGCGGAGCACTAAAGAAGAGCACTTAGTTTTCATAAGCAACACATCACCACTCCAAAGCTCGCTGCTTCATTCAGCATTGTGAGATAGAAATTATTGGTAAAGATGAAAATACAATAAATACTGCTAGTGCAGAATGACCCAGCTCCACAGTGATTGATGCTCCTGCACTATCTCATTCCACCCCCACCAAAGGCAGGGACACCTCCTACTAAACCAGGTTGCTCCAAGCCCCATCCAGCCTAGCCTTGAACACCTCCAGGGATGGGGAAGCCACAGCTTCTCTACCTTTTTTTCCCCCCCCTTCCCCTTTATTGTGATGTATTTCACTGTTAGCAAACGTTAACCCTATTAAGAGAGAAAAAGCTGTTGTAGCTTTTTTATGCAGACAAGGCCAACAGATCAGCTCATATTTAAGAGTTACAGAAGCTGATTTAAAATCCCAACACTAATTTAAAGCTGATTTAAAATTCCAATTTAAAAAGCCAACCCTGGCTTCTCATTTACCAGCTTTTAAATATATTGTCCATTCAGGCAACTGCTGTTGCACTGAAGGATAAAGTGGGGCTGAATAAATGGAGCGTTTCTTCCTTCCCACTGCAGTAACATCTCAGAGAACTGGCGAGGGAGCAGGAAATGCTCCTTAATGTCCTTTCAGTAAGTTTACATTTGTGCCACATTTACAGCTCTGTGGCTGTTGCATCGGCTCATTGTGTTTCTGAGCACAGGTTTCTAACCCTTGGTTATTCTGAGGCTCTCCCAGTCACATGAGCTGGCACCTGTAATTCCATTGCCTTCAGACAGCTCTATCCCTAAGGAACACCCCATTTGGGAGTCTCAGCAGAGGTTGCCAGAGAGGTCTGTGCCCAGTGCTCCCTGCCTGGTGCCATGGGCCATGCCAGCAGCTCCGGGCACTGCTCCTGGCACAGCAGGCTGCAAATGTGCTGTCCTGCTGGGAAGGGTTCAGCGAGGGCCAACCTCAGCATGAGGACCCAGAACAGAACCCAACAGCTCAATGGGGTAACTTGTAACAGCAGCACTGGGGCCCCTCAACGGGCCCAACAGCCGGGCTGAGCACACCAGCAGGAGTTCCCTGCATTTCCCAACAGGGAACAACCCAACCACCAGCTCCAAAAACACTGAAGACCAAAACGACTGCCAGCTTCTGTTTCTTGGGCGGTTGTTGGTTGGTTTGTTTGTTTGTTTTTAAACCAGTGTAGTACTTAAAAAAGTTAAGGGCTCTTAAGCAATGGATACTGATGAAGCCCTGACTGCTGCAGGTGCTTTGGGAATGATTTATTTCCTCTTCCACTCACGAGTGTGAATTCATGCTCTTCATACACCTGCCCCTGCACCATGTTTGTACAGGTGACAGGGGAGCTGGAGAGTCTGTAACCAGCCTGCCTGTGCTTGGGCATCCTTGGAGGGTTTGATCTCTGAGAGTGGATCTGCTCCTCTGTGAGCTCCATGTGGGGCTGTGAGCTCACAGAGGATGGCAAGGCTGAGCTTAGTCCCTGACTGTTGGGAGACAGACCAAAGCCTTCCCTTGGGGTGGGAGACAGACCAAAGCCTTCCCTTGGGGTGATCTGTCCTGTTTTCTGGTGTAGATAAATGAGTTACTTACTGCAGCTCCAGCCTCTCCTGCCAGTGATGCCAATGGTGCAGCTTTCACTGTCTCATTTTGTACCACACCAGGCAGCTCCAACCCCAAAAGTCTATTTTAGGGATCTAAAAAAACACATACAGTCCAATCAATCATGAGTCCATAGTTAGGTGCTGATACTTAAAAGACATTTACCTCTGGTTCCAAGAGAATCCTGTAGAAAACACGGAGCAGGAGGTTGGCAATTTTTGGCTGGCATTGTTGTTTAGAACATAAATTTTCCTTCTGCCTCACAGGCGGGTATTGAGCACTCCCATGTCCCTGATGCAGCCACTGCCTGAGCACAACAGAGAGAACAGCGTGGCCAGGGAGGGCACCCCAGGTTTGCTCCAGCTGGGCTGCACAGGTGGGTCCAGCACCCCTGGAGGGAGGCAAAGCCAACTTACCCAAGGCAGTCTGGGAGACAGCAGTGCAGCCTGCTGAGGGATGCCTCGTGGGCATGTCTCCTCCAACACAAACATCTTCTCTAAACAGTCTCTCAAGCAAGGCTTTGTCTGCCATATATCTGGAAACCCCAGCTGGGCTCATCCCATTAGCATTTACATCCCAGAAATGCCCACCCCAGGCAATATTCTTGTGGACATGACCCTAACACTGTATAGAAAGTAGGACCAAAGGCGTTACTTAGCAAAACCCCACAGCCAGACTTCCTCAGGAATACTGAGAGGCTGTTAATTGTTTTCAAGTGTGAGAGAAATAGAGCTCCAGTGGAGATTCCTGCTGCCAGCAGGTAGGAGCCCATTCCATGGATGAGTGTGGGATGTGCTGGCAGTGCTGCAGAGAGACCCAAGAAATACCTTCCAAACACACCGGGAGTGAGCACACGAGCACGTCCAGAGGGTGTGCAAGTGTGCAAAGGGAGATCTACTCAACTCCTGCTGTTTCCCTCCTCAGCAGCCCCACCACAACATCACCAATATTCACATTAACAGTAGCAGCAGAAACAAAACATCTCCCAGAGTTTGCCCTGGGCTGTCTGCAACAGCCACCCTTTGGCTCCAGCACACCTGCTATTGCTTCCTGATAAATGGGACACTGGAGTGACAAGGCACATTGCATTGTAATCAAAGACTAGTTTAATTTTTATACTCAGCTTAAAAAAGATAAAAAGCACAGCAATCATCCCATACACATTCCATCTGAACAAGCTGCACACACTCAGGAAAAATAACCCAGAATTACTGAAGATTCAGTGTCTTTTATGCAAAAGAAAAGCAGGATACACGAAGTACATGGCCATGGTTTGATTATCTTAAACCAACAGCCAACCCCTGTATTCATGCTTCAAAGTTTTAGGGTTTATATTTAGCACACAAAACATTTACACACAGGTTATTTGTTCCACACAGAAAGCTGAACTCTTTTTCAAACCTATAAAGCTACTAAGCTAATTTTACTTTAGAAAAATCATATGTAAAAACTACCAAACAATTTTAAGGACAATTAGAACACATAGTACATGACTTATCAGATAAGGAGAGCATGGACCATGCAGCAGTGCTATTGTAAGGCTGGGACCTTCACAGCTTCCCTTTTCCTGATGAAAATCCAGTGCTGGTTTGTTGCACTATTTCCTGCTAGTTCAAGGATTAAAGAAAGTGAGTATGAGCAAGACAGGTGCTTTTTAAAAAAAAAATTTAACAATCCCCCCCCAAACCCCTTGCACAATTTTTCAGCCATCCCACTGGGTTTCCAAGTGCTTCCCTGGAGCCTTGCTGGGTAGGGACAGCAGCCCCAGCCCAGCCACTGCCTGTGACGGGTGGGTCCCACCAGCTGCCTGGCACCTGGTCCTGGTGCCCCCATTCATCCCATCACCCCTGGCAGCAGCAGGGCCTTGCTGGCACATCCCATGGGAAACAGGAGCCGTGAGGGACAGGGAGAAAGCAGCCACCAAGTGCCTCCCATGTGCCCACAGTGACCTGCCCCACTGGCACATGCCTGTGGTATGAAGGTGCTGTGATAGGAAGAAAGAAGCGTCAACAGAGACAAGACACCAAGTGCCAGAGGCTGCAGGGCCAGGAGGGGAAGCCCAGGGCAGTCCCGGCAGGTTTGAGGCTCAGACAGCACTGGAAGAATGCTCAGATCAGAATCAGAGTGATAAAGGCTCCGGTCCCAGCACTGCAGAGCATTGCAGAGCACCTTGGCCATGGCACACACGGCCCAGAGCTGGCACAGCCCCGGCGCCCTCGGCCACGCCTGGCAGACGTGGGGCGGCTCAGAGGTTCTCCTTCAACCACTGCACGTATCTGTTGAAGAGCCGGTGCCCCAGGGCCAGGTCGAAGGGCCACGAGGTGAACAGGAGGGCCCCGTGGAAGGCGTCCCGCGCGTGGTCGTGGGTGACGCTGACGCCGGCGTCGCGCAGCCGCCGCGCGTACATGGCACCATCGTCCCGCAGCACGTCGTGCTCGCAGGTCAGGATGTAGGTGGGGGGCAGCTGGCGCAGCCGGGCATCGCTGCCCAGCAGCGGGGCCGCCCGCGGGTCCAGGAACCCGGGGTAGCGCCGTGCCAGCGCCGCGCTGCCCGGCGTGGGGGCCGCGTACACGTGCCCCCGGCGCATCCCCGCGGGCAGCAGCCGGCTCCAGTTCACAAACTGCAGCAGGTGTCCCACCTCGGCGGGGACGTGGCTGTTGGAGGCCATCGCCTCCCTCAGAGAGGGGTCTGACGTGAAATACTCGCTCCAGAACCTGACCATGAGTGACCGGGACAGGAGGGGCTTGTCGGTGTTGTCTCGGTAGGACGGCAGGTCCAGGTCCAGGGCCTGCAGAGCAGGGTAGAGCAAAACTTGGGCTTTGAGCTTCGTTTTGACTTCAGGGTCCTCCAACAGCTGTAGAAGAAACCAGATAATTTCAAAGAGTCAGTGAAAGTGCTGGCTCCCTCACACTGACAAAAGATCTGACGTAAGGAACACTCATTTCACAACATGAGCAAAATAAAATCAATAAAACCAGAATAAAGAAATTCTGAATGCATAGGCAGGTCACCTAAAACAATGTCCTGTGCTAAAAATTCACAAACGTCAAATACAATTTCGTTTTATTTCTTATGTTGAAAGATAACAATATTTGGGAAATACTCTTTTGGAGGCTTTAATGCTTTCTGAAGTAGTAATCAATGTTTTTTCTATAACTGCAGAAATTTTCTGTTCTTATATCATGAAAATTTCACGTTTCTGAATCTCCTTTAATAATTTCCCACAATTTGGAGCTTATCCACCTGGTTGGTTTTTAGCCCTGAGGTGTTACAACTCAAGCAACTGCAATTCTGTGCATTTTAGAGATGTGACAAATAAAATGTGATGAATTGAACACTAACATTTCTTATAGTCATTCTTTTCCCCTCTTCACTAATAAATCTTCCATTTTCTCCCTCATCTTCTGCCTTCAGCATCCACAGCAAATTCACCAGTGTTCCCAGTGAGATCCATTACAATCCAAACAAGTTCTCAAGAGAGCAACAACATCATGTTGGCTTTTTTTTAATAATCTTGAGTGAGAAGTGCAAAAGGCACTGAACTGTGTGATCAGACACTGGAACACTTAGTGAGGGTTTTTTGTTTGGTTGGGTTTTTTTACCCTGCTATTTACTTCTTTATGAGCCAAATAGTTAAAATTCCCTTTTCAAACACCATGCCTAGACCAGTCAATATGTGCTTAAGGTTAGCGTGATGTATGCCCCAATTAGAGGGCAGAGAGCCTTATTTAGGGTATAAAGGTCTGGATGACACCAAAGCTCCTGTGCTGCCCTTGAGTGGCTCAGGCACATTGGCTCCCGTGGGCTGTGGGACGTCCCGTGCGCACAGACCACGAGAGCTGCACGTGCTTTGAGCTGAGGTGTTTGTTAGCAGCCGTGAAATGACAAAAATAACTATTCTGAGCTTGCAGCCCAGGGTTTAGTCGTACCTGTTGTGCCACAGCCGCAGCCAGGTTGCCCCCAGCGCTGTCCCCTGCGACACAGACCCGTGCAGGGTCCACCCCGTACCGGGCCAGGACACTGCTCTGCAGGAAGAACTTGGTCGCTGAGTACACGTCTTCAAAGGGCACCGGGAAACGGTGCTCAGGGGCCAGCCTGTAGCTGTGGAGGCAAGAGAGGTGTGTCAGTCCCTGCTACTAACAAAGAGAAGGGCTCGCTGATGTCTGCTTGAGCTGGGGCACGTTTGTTAGTTCTGCGCCCAGAGAAGTGGGAACAGTCTGTTCAGGACGGTCCAGTATTCCAGTATCCCCCATCTTCATAAAGCCAAAGTAGCCACCAACCACAACTCACCACTGCCACCCTGATGGCCTCAGTTCACAAGTGCTTGCAGCCAGCAGGAAGACACATGACCAAAGACAGAGGTATTGCAAAATTATATTAATAGAAACAATTTATTCCAAACCCTCATCCCATCTGGAAGGAGAATCTCTCTTACTTGACTGACACCACGACAGCATCCAGCTCGTTCGAAGTTCGCCGTGAGGTGTGATCATAGGATTTCATGCCTGAAATGAAACAAGTCACTGGAATACACCCTAGTACTTGTGAGAACAGACACACACACAGCCTGATGCTCCTCTTGGCAGAAGCTTTCAGGTGACTTTCCCAAACCTCCACCTGCTTTTAACTCTTGACACATCAGTTCCCTGACCCTCCCCTGTGGTAAGTCCCATAAAACAAAAGGTAGTGCTTGACACGGGCTGTTGAGATCTTCCACAGACCCCTGGCACCAAGGGAAAAGCACTCACCTGCGTCTCCCAGGCACCACCCCCCGCCGTGGAAGTAGACCATGGCCCTCCTCAGCCCGTCAGGTGCCCTCTTGGGCAGGTACAGGAGGACGGGGACGTTGTTGAACTCGGTGTCTGTCACAGTGACGTTTTCATCGGATGTGACCACGATGGTCTCGATAGCTGTGATCAGCCTCAAGCCCTTCATGTAGTGCATCAGCCCCAGCAGATCCAGCACCGCGGACTAAAGACAAGGGCAAACGGTGCTTTCAGTGCAGCCTTAGTTACTCTCAGATTAAATCTCCATGAAGCACTCGATGCTCTGTGCCAGCCCGTGAAGTTGCTGTGTAGGTCACGACAACAGGCTGGGGTGTGTCCATCTGATGGGAACTTGGCACTGAAAGGAGCACTCGGTGCCGGTCACTCACTCTGTGTCACTGCTGCCCAGCTGGGGCAGAGCCCAGCGCTGGCACCGGGGCTGCTGCTTTGTACCTGCACTCAGACTCGTGCTCAGTGTTTATGTGGGTCACCTCCACAGCACAGTGACCAGCTCAGTGACCCACCAGCACAGGGATCGTGCCACAGAGAGCCACCAACAGCCACCCACAGAGAGCCACTAACAGACACCCACAGCTCCTGTGCCCACCAGAGGCACCATAATGATGTAGGGATGGCACAGGGATCACACTGCACAGAGCCACCAATGCCACCCACAGCTCCTGTGCCTGCCACAGGCA